GTTTTCACAGAGAATTCTGGATGGATTTCAGTTTTTATTTGAACAAATTAAGCCTTGGGGACCCAAAAAAGAAAAAAAAAATTTAAAAATCAAATGTTTACAAGGCAGCTGCAGTAATTCATCCTCATTATTGCTTACTTTTAAAGTACCCATAGCTCCAACAATGCTCTAGTAAAGAACCAACTCCTACATGACCCTGAGACAGTCTCTACAACCCCCATCATCTCTGCAGTCTACTGCCACAACCCAGGACTTGCAGAAGGGAAAAGGGAAAGGACTATGCTAAAAAAAATTCTCTTTTGCAAGCCTAATGAGCTTCTGGTTTATGCAAGTGCCTTTGAGATGTCTGTCTCTCTTCTGCAGAAGAGGTGCTCCCGTCCCTCAGCGCCACAGGTTTACACACCTGTCACCCAAAGAACAACCCTCTCCCCTTCCCTCCACCACCACCCAGTTTCCTCTTCTCCCATGTGTAATTCTAAAACCCCAAAGGACTCTATTTAGACACACTAACTGCAGACAAAAGACTCATTCTCTACCCCACTAATTCCCAAGGCAACTCCAGCATCTGTGAGTACTGTGGACAAGCCACAGTTGGGTCCCTGAGCAATTTGGGATGAGGGACCCGCACAAAACAGGCCAAATATTGGCATGTTCTCCTCCTACCCCACAAACCATCCCAGCTCTGTTGGAGGTCTCAGGGCAACTTCACGGCATCTCCCCGAAAGCCAGGCCATCACCCATCTGGGCTCTGGCCATTGCAGGACTCAGCAAGTCAACACCCACATCCCAAATCCCACCTGCAGACTGTGGGGGAAGCCAGCCCGTCCCTGACACCCGCATGAGGTGTCCAAGCCTGTGTTAATTAACGGGATGGAACAACAGCTTCGGTTCCTGAGTGGCCTCAAGGTCCAGAAAGCAGATGTGGGCACTGCTGCGGGTGACAGGTCCCTGCAGGGAGCAAAGCCATGGCTGCAAACCAAGCGTAATTCTGCCTTAATGGACATTAGGGCTCACCAGGGAGGTATGGGCTGTGATTACAGACACGTTCAGTTTTTCCCACTCCATCAGTACCCTGTATTTCACAGCAGGAACCTTTCACTCTTCCAGCCCTAATTAATCTAATGTTTTTTTCAGATTCATGGAGGAGAGAGTTTGGATGGGTTTTTGCTCACACACCAGCAATGGGTAGACCGGGGAGGAAAAAAAAAATGCTGTGGCTGTTCTTTCTGAGATGGCAAAGCAGATAGAAAGGGAAACCACAGTATGCGTTTGAATCATTCCCCAATAAGGAAGCGGGAACGCAACAAGTCTGCATTAGATGAGGCTGTTTAAATTCATTATCATGACAATTTACACTTTTGTGGCAACAGCTGCATCTGTATATCAAAATCCTTTGCTGACAGTTATTCATCAAGCCTCAGTTCCCCTGGTGGCAGAACAGCCACCAGCTCACCGATACAAACAGGGAAGCGTCTGGGGGATCTCAGACCACACTCCACCTTGGTATCTGCATCCCACACGTGAAATAATCCAGGGCTGCCGCTTGCGAGCGGGCAGGTTTTAAGACAAACATTTCCCTCTGGCTCAGTGAGGGAATCCACATCAACCAGTCCCACAGATCCAGCTGAAACAGCCCACGAAACCTCCAGCAGCTCTTCCCACCAGCCAAGCTTTGCCGACGGCCATCCCCAGCGCAGCCTGCCCGGCACAGCCCTGCGGGGCGCCCAAGAGAAAGAAGCCAACCTTGTGGTGGCAGAAGGACAACAGAGATAACCTCCGGCACACACATCCCATACGTCAGACACCCGTGTTTCTAACAGGATGATGAAAGCTGGGGTGACGCACATCTTCAAATGCTTCTTTGCTGTCCCCTTTCTAAGCCTTGCAGGTGGCACCAGTGTCCCCAGGCTGGTGGCTTTGCTCTGGGGTTTTTTTGCCATGTCTGGTCTCAAGATTCAGTTCCTGTATCCTGTGCCACCACCGCAACAAGTTTCTTACCCTGCTTATCACTCCTCACCCAAAGAAATCTTCAAGTCCCTGACTCACAGGTCCCTGTAAGACCTCTGGGGTGGCCCCTCCAAAGTTTCAGGAGAAGGATGTGGGCTGCTAAAAGTATTTGAAAAGCACCCAAGTGTTTTAGCACCCAAACGTCACTGCCAGCCAGCCACTGCCAGCCTCTAAAAATGTTCTGACAATTTTGAAATCGTCCCTGCTCCTTTGAGTGCAGGAGCCGTGCCCAGAGCCTCTGCCAGGCTCCACAACCCCACTTGCATCCATCATGTTTTGCTCTTCTTTTCCCAGCTCCTATCACCAGCCCGCAGGCACCGGGAACTTCCTTAATCTTGTTCCTCCTGACACCAGCAGCGATGGGGACAGTCGGTAGTGGCCAAAGGCAACCACTGACACTGGAGCCTGACGTTGGGATGCCCTGTGCCTGGTAAACTGGCCTGAGATGTGTCACCAAACAATTCCCAAAGCAGCAGTATGTCCCTACTTAACACACTGCTGCCCACAGCTCTGGGCTCCCTTTCTGCTCGCTTAGCACAGACTCTCCCCGGCTCCCTTTACACCAGCCCGACAACCACACAGTGGTGATTTCTCTGCAAACACCAGGTTGGCGCTGGCTGCTGTCAGACAGTCTGGAGGGAGGGGAAACACCCCAGACAACAGCCCCAACCCAGACACACGAAAAAGCCGAGTGCTGCGAAGGGGGAAGAGACAGAGCAATGACTCAGTGATCACTACGGGCTCCAACCCCAACAGGAGCGCAGCATCAGGCAGCGAGCTAGTGTCTAGCGCACATCAGCGAGCAAAAGCAGGCTAAGAGAGCTCAACCGTGAAGTAGTGCCTCACAGGGACCTGCCGCAGCAGTCTCTGGTGTAGACACGTAGGAGATCAAGTCCCCACTATGCACTTGAGCTGCGATGTGGAATGGCCGAGGTGCTCCAAGGAGGCTGGGAAGCTCTCAGATGCTGAAGAGCTGTTTGGTGCAGACAGACGGCCCTGCAGACAGACGACAGGGCAAGCCTCGATCGAAGGCAGCTCCTAATGCAGGATGGAAATATGACCTCTGTGCTTTTCTGCTTTAGAAGCTAGGGCCTGAAATGTGTTTTGGAGACACAGGTAACCCCAACACTCCTCCAAGGTGGGTAAGAGCTGGTGGCTTGCAATAAAGCTCTGACTACCAGGCTCCAGCCTGTGTCCACAGCAAAGGGACTGCTAGCCAGTCTGTTATCTACATTCCTGACTCACTCCTTTCCTTTCTCCTGAGACAGAAACATATTTACAATCAAACCTGAATTCCCCTGAATGTCTCCTGGAAGGAACCATGTGAGCCGAAAGGTCAGTCCTGAGTCAGGAAACCAGTTCTTGTGCTGAGAAACTCCCCAGCCCCCTCCCTACCACTCCTTGGGCACAGCGCGGAGGAAACCCGTACAATATCCTTGTAAAACCTTGGAGACGGGAACAGAGGGCTTCTAATCTGGATGTTTTACGGAGGTCTGACTTTCTGCAGCAATGCAACAGGTTGAGAGAAAGTTTGGTTGCAACCTTCAGCCATGAAGGCTTCTCCACTTTTACTGGTAAAGTCAAGCCACCACCAGATGGGGTCTGCACGTAGCTGGTGGGGCTTGGGAAAGGTGTGGTTGTAGCTGTCCCTTACCCCCTCCTTTCCCACAGTCTTAAAATACCATGTGAGTATTAAATAAAGCAGCCAGCACCAGCCTTTCCTTTCTCTACTGGGACGAGCAAAGCAGAAACAGCCCACGCCTGCAGGACACGCTGGTGTGACAAGTTCCTCTGTCCCAGAAAGCCACCCCCTGTCTCATGGTGAATCCTCCAGGAACCAACATCCTTTGAGGCATTTAACAAGACCTGCATCAGAAGGGGAAGGGCTCAACTCACACCTTTGATTCCCCAGAGAATCTTGCAGTTAGAGCTGCTGGAGAGAGGGTAAATCACCTGCAAGGGACAATGCCAGGACTCATTGAAGCCTGAAGAGCTGTCTAAGGCATCAAGAGCAATGAGGGGAAATGGAGCAACAGGACAAGGATGAGGCTGCTTCTCCTGGCCCAGAAAAGAGCCCTGTAAGCACTTCTGAGCTCCTCTACATCGTCACCTTGCACTACACCAGCAGATGACACCCACAAGCAATTCACAGGGTTGAAGTCTCAGTTTTCAGCAACATGTGGCTCAATCACCAGCCCTAACCCAGCAAAGGGGCATTCGAAGCTGGGGAAGGGAAATCAGGGGGTGCCAAGCTGTCATGCATAGCCCATGCTGCACAAATTCCCACTCTTAGAGAAAAGATGCTTGTCCCCTGCAGGGTTACCCCAATGCATCAGTCAATGCACACTAACCGGACAAGGGGGGAGAGAAAAGGTGCCACAAATTCCTGTTCTGCTCATCATCCCCCTTCCCCTCTACATGGAAACTGGATGCTCCAAACCCTGTCTGGTTTAGGGAGCCTGGAAATGTGTGTGCTCCATCCTGCCATCACAGGTTGCACTGCACAGGCATGTAGCAGTGCCCGGTTGTGTAAGATCTATTCCCTGGGTTAAAAAAAGCACATTTTGCTGCTCCTGAACAACATCCTCTGATCCAGGGCAGGATCGACTGGGCCGGTATTTAGATACTGAGCAGTGAGACATTTTTGCAGGTCAGGAGCAGAGGGAGCCTGAATATTCAGCTGTACCAGCAACTTGGGAACTACATGCCAAGACGCCATGAACAAGCAACGCTACCCCCTTCAAAACCCTGGAAAGAAGGCCAAGGAAAAGGCTCCCCCAGGACCGCTCTGCTCTCGAAGCCCCTGTTACGCTGTAGGTAACCCAAGGTACAAATTTTGCCATAACCAGCATCCCTGGAGCTCTGCAGAGCACCTGCCATCTCCAGAGGACCCCTGCCAAACTTGCAAAGCAGCTCCTCCTAAAATACACCTCTTAAACACGCAGTCTTGCATAATACTTGTAACACGTAAGAACCGACGGGGCTCAGCTCACCGCCAGAAATAACTTTTCCTGCAGCACAAACGAGCCCTAACTTCAGGCAAGGGCAGCAGAAACAGCTTCAGGCAGCGACCCAGCGCAGCGCTGATGACGGAGGGTGCCCAGGGGAGGGGGGCAGCCGGCAGGCAGCGATGCCCCCATGTCCCCCATCACATACGTCCCCGGGGAGCTGCTTCCCGCTGCCCATTCTGGTGCTTTCCAGCGGCGGTTTTTCAAAGCA